GCGGCCGGATGTGACTGCGCAGGTACAGAGAGAGAGAGAGAGAGAGAGAGAGAGAGAGAGAGAGAGAGGCTCATAGAGAGAGAAATAGAGAGAGAGAGAGAGAAACAGACAGAGCAGACGACATAAGACGCCATCGGCGAGTGTTGCTGTGCGCCACGGCGTAGCCGTTGCGGGGTCCACTTGTTGTTTTTTAAAAAAAAAGGGGGGGCAAGTACGTTGGGGTGCGGCTGTTTCCTTCGCCGGCCCGTGTTTTTTTTTGCCTTCGCGAACTGCAAACCTGCCACGTCCACGGTTGTTTTAAAAAAAAAAAGGGGGCAAGTACGTTGGAGTCACACCCAATGTTCACAATAGGCAACTTTAGCAGTTCCGGAAACGATGGTGCAAAAAAGGCGCCGACCCTAAATCTGCCAAGCGCCAGTGGGGGTAATGACTCACACAGTTTTAGACCCCTGCTAAACTTGCACATTTCGAAACTCACAACTTGACACCGGCACCACTTTGTCTTTTCTTGCCTATTTCAAACTAAAAGTGTGTCACAGCCGCAGTTCCCCCCCCTCCCCCCCCCAAGAAAAAAATAAGGGTCTTGAGGGTGTGGTTTAAAAAATAATAATAATAAGGGAAAATTTGTCTGGTGCCCCTGTAATTTGCATTATTTTGCGTCGCGCCCCTCCAACGGCCGATTTACCCTGTCGCGCACCTCTGAGCAGTGTTCAAATTTTTCATAAGACCCCGGTGTCGTTTGGGCCTCGAATCTTTTCGTTGCGCCCCTACCGGTACTGGACCCTAATTTGCGCGGGATGCCCCTACCCGATGGCCGTTAAAAGCCAGCAGGAAAATTTTCGAGATGCCCCTACCGGTACCATTTGCTGCCAAGCCATTTGCTGCCAAGCCATTTGCTGCTATGTCATCTGCTGCCACGTCATCTTCTGCTACGTCATCTGCTGACAGTCCATTTGCTACCAAGCCATTTGCTACTACGCCATTTGCTGCTATGTCATCTGCTGCCACGTCATCTGCTGCCAATGCCTCATCAGCTGCTGTCACGGCATCTGCTGCCAAGAGGGCGTCTGCTGCCAAGTCGTCCACAACTGCCACATCTTCTACTGCTTTCCCAAATGCAGGGGCGGCTCCCTCTTCCGACAAACGAAAGGATGTTAGTGGTGGAGAGTCTGAGTCAACGACGAGGGCAACGACGACCTCGATGAATGCAAAGGCGGGAAAGAAGAAGTCTGGGACGAAAATCAGGGGGCGGGCGTTGGCTCTTGCAAGTCAGTTCTCGTCTCATCCGAAGAATACGATCTATGGAAGAAGATGATGAAGGAGGAGAGGGGTGTTGTGATGGCCTCTGGCTGGTTGGTGGACTGTACAACGTTCCAGCCCTCTCTCTCTCTCTCTCTCTCTCTCTCTCTCTCTCTCTCTCTCTCTCTCTCTCTCTC